CAGTACAGATGTAGGTAAAAAACTGACAGTGTTTTAAAAAGGTATATTATAAACTTTCCAAAACACTGAAAGTGTTTTTCATACATCTGCACTGATATCTATAATCTGTCACTGTGAACCCCCAAAATTTTATTCACGAGGCGCCACTGATCCTTAATAATGTGCTGCATTAGAACATTGAAGTGCTATAATTTATTTTAAAATTAGCAGAAGCGGTTTTTAATAAATTTAAGATGGCAATTCTGATTGGTCAGATTGCAGTCAGTTTCAAACATTACTTTTTAGCATTAACATCAGCTGATGGGAATGTGGGTGGCTCAGTGGTAGAGTCTGGACTTGAAAATCGAATGGTCCGCGGTTCGAATTCCAGCGATGACCGGGATTTTCTTATTAAAAAATAATTCTGATGCATTGGTATGATTCCCCACATGGACCATTCATTGTTGGGTTCTAATTAACAGTGCTGTTCCTAAAGTGGCGCTGGGAAATAGTAACAAGGCCTGTCTGCAAGGGTGCGGGAGTATTAGAGTACTAGCACCCCTGCACTATAGAGTATTAGACTACTAGTACAATACATAACCTACTTAGAACATGAGATTAATGACCTAAGTTATCGAAGCCAAAACACTAATAAAAAACCCTCAGCTGATAATTGACATTGTTGACAGTTCTGGTATTTTATATTTTTGCTTTCGCCCCTATGATATCTCATTATTACTAAGTTTTTTTACTTTATTTCGTTAAAAACAGTTCTATTCAGAACATCAGTGAGCAATTGAACTAAATTCCTAAGATTATGGACCCTTCTACTCCGAGTACTGCAAACTACCTCACCAAGGTACTTTTATAATTTATTAAAGAAAAGTTGCATTTTTATTAATTTCAAATTTCTACATTTACGAAAAATCTTTTAGATAATTAAATCCTATCTATGATGCTTAATAAATAAAAGCAATTATTACAGAAAATATCAAAGTTATTCCAGAAGATTTCGATCCAAAAACCTCCATAAACATATTTCTTTTCGCGAAGTTATACTTAATAAAACAGTTAAGTACAAAATTCCGAGAATTTCTCAAGGCACATAATAAATCTATCACCCCTTTTTATCCACCCAAATTCGTTCCCACCGGAGCTATGACAAACTGACGTCACCAAATGCCATTAAAACGGGTATAAATACCAGAACCCGAGGACTCGAAGTTCATTAATTTTATTATTTTGTATAGAGTTATATTTCAAGTTCACTATTCAGTACTAAATTGATGCTCTTCCTAACCGGCGTCTATCCTACAATACTTCCTATCCCTTGAACTCTGTCACGTCCCATAACACCTAAGTATTTTCAAACTTATATCCATCCAAATGACTTGTCTCCGAACGTTTTTCACGTGTCGACGCTCAACGCCTTGACGCTTAATATCCCGAGCACCACCTAAGAATTTCCTACCGTATATCTGTCCCGACGCAGTATCGATTAAATACCTTCATCTGCTCAACACTGTGACGTACATAATGTTTAGATTAGACGAACCTAATGTCTTTATTTTCAATGCTGAGTCAAAAATATTTATGTAACTTTCTTTGAGATATCATTAAGGTTTCGTTTAAACGACGTTCTGACATTTGTTTCAAAATATCAATGTAATTGAATAAACCACATGTCCTTCGGAAAGACAGGATAGACATCTATTTTTCGATGGGTGAATTTGAGTCATTTCAATAGAAATTATAAAAAATCGATATTCTGTAATTATACAGGGTTGTATAATCTTAGATAAATTATACAAACTGAGATGGTAAAATTTAGTAGTAAGTTAATCAACTGTTTATTAGCTCAGAAGCTATACTAAGCCACCCATTCTACTAAGTTTAAAACATAAATTATATGTGAAAATCAACATAGTAAGTTAACCAACTGGCGAATTGACGCTTTTCGTAACTCCGTTGGTCATCACCTCTATACTCGTCGAAATAGTTACCTAAGAGAATGCAATCCTGTGAGTATTGATTCATGAATTCATGATTCATGAATTATTATGATTTCCAAAGGTAAAAATTATTTTTCGGTATTTTATTTTTAAAATATTATATTTAAGCACATTTGAAATCATTTTTTTCAAATTGTACTCCCAGGAAGTATCAGAAAAAGTGCCTGCATTTGTAGTCAATTGAACATATATTTGAAAAACGAAAATAGAACAAACAATAATTAATTTTTGTGAAAGTTCAAAAAACAATTTCGATCTTTTTGAAGGCACAAATGTACGTTGTATTTAATGCAAATCCATCGGGACTTGCCCTTGCAAGCAATATTCTTACAGTGCCCAGAAAGGCGCGTTTCAGCATGCTTTGGATTTGTATTTCTTTGGCTTGGCTGGGTGCAGACTTCATTCTTTGAAAGTTTCCCTACCTTTTTTCTGGAAATGTCATTACCTTGTTTGATAAGCTCCTCCCCTACCCCTACCTCCATTCTAAATTGTAATAAATCTAGAATTTTTTGATTGCTGACCGATCAAGCAATTGGTAGTCTTTTTTGTATTCTATCCATGAATTTATGTGCCATATCCACCGCATAGAAGATAAATTGTAAAAGTTCTTTGTGTACAAATGTCTACAAATGGAGACATGAAATTTTAAGTGCATAAAATAGGTGTATTTCCAAAATATGTATAAAACACGTAACGCACCAGGACAATTCTCCAGATCGGGCCCCAAAAAAGGTCTTTATGTAAAAATTTCTCCTCCTCTACTTGAATTTCTCTAAAAAAAAAGGCCCTCAAGCAAAAATAAAAAAAAGGTCTTCAAGTAAGAACTTCCCCCATCTTGTGCCGAACTTCTGAAAGTTACAAACACCACCGCCGTCGGGCCCCCATTATACCGCCGCTGGGCCCCCCTTATACCGCTGACGGGCCCCCTTTTGAACCCGGTCCCCGGGAATTATTCCCGGCTGCCCCCCTCTAGTCGGCCCTGCCTATGCTCCAAAAATGTAATAACATTTAATGGATGAGCAATAACTTTCGATATTTTTTGGGAATTATAAAAGTTCGAATGTCTAACGTACACAAGATCGTGTAAATGCAAAACGAAGCGAATCGCGGTTACGGCGAATACTAGAAAGTTAGTGTCTACAATTGTAGACACCAATAGTTAAAGGGTTTTAAGATAGAATCGAGCTAAATAAAAATATAAACATCAACATAGTAAGTTAATCAACTAGCGAATTGACGCTATTTGTTAACTCCGTTGGTCATCAGTTAAATAAAATATATCTTGATAGCAAATGAACGTATTCCGCGTTTGAGCGGGACTGTATATTATTGCATTATATTTAAAGTATAAAAAATAAAAGAGTTTAATTATAATTTTGTATGATTTTATTCACCAATTTGCACCAAACTTTGCATCGAATCCTAGTTTATTTTAATTAACATTATCACAACGTGGGTATATAAATTATCAATTAATTAATTAATTAGACTAGAGGAAAAAGGCCAAATACAGTAAGTATAGAATTTAAAGTAAATGTGAGAGGTAAATAATAAGATTTCAGAGAATAATCAACGATCGAAGGGGCTATGGGGTGGGTTGTCACAGTACTATTAAGAGTAGCAGTTGCTTGCGTAGTCTACCAAAACAACTAAAACGGATGAGTTTAGGGTATTTAAGTCTCTCAAAAAACAAAACATAACAAATATATAAAAACATGTATTGGATGATAAACCAAAATTGTTGATGTTGTATCCAAAATTTCTCAAGGCACCGGTAAGTTTTACTCATTACTTTCAGATTCAAAATGGTATTAAATACTCACCATTTTTCTTACAGGAGTTGCAAAGTCAACAACTTACCGAGTATTGGAAGAATACCGCAATAGCAGTGTTGCCAGACTTCAAAAAGAGAATTATCGCATAAACCGTTTAAAATTATCGTACATTATCGTACAAAATAACAATACTTAATAAAAAAGTTTTTTAATATAATTTAAAAAAAAAGAGTAATTAAAAGAGAGAAAAATATTTTATTTTTTTATCTTTATATTAAATAAAAACATCGAACTTTCTTTAAACATAAAATAATAATTTTCTTTGTACTAAAAGGATAAAAGCTAAAACAAATAAAAATAAAAGAAAACAAAAACATTTAAATTTCATCAAAAGTGATGTCGTCATCAAATTGCATCTCATTATCGTTTTGGAACTTCTGGTTCTGGTAGAGTTTGGCAGAAGTCATGCTTCTTAACATTTTGTCACTGGGTTTAAAATTCAAACAGTCTTGTTCTAGATGGACCTGCTGAGACGATAACATATGTCCATTTACCGTATGAGTTATTAATCTGTTTCTTAATTTGGTTTTATTAAATTTACCTCTGAAAATTGTCTTTCACAACTGGCACTTGAATGTGGTAGTGAGAGAACACTTAAAACAAAATTACACAAATCTGGGAATATAGGTTCTCCATTATAGTCTGTTGTTTGACTTATTTTATAAAAAAAACTCATCGATTTCCGTGGATTCCGGTAAATCCTCAAAGTGTTTTAATTTTTTCCACTGGTCGTCAATTTTTTGTAGTTGCGTGGTGTTTTGGGGGTCACAAATTTGTGGTAAAGATGTTACCAGCGGTAAAAGTGTAGCCTCATTGCCTTTTTTTATATTCTGGATATTTAAAATGGAAAGCTTACTTAAGACGGGATCTTCAAAATTATAACGTTTCTTAATTTCCAGACAAACCGTAATTAAAAATTTACGACAGCGTTCAAGAAAGTCAGTTTTAGTTGGCTGGTCTAAAGAATCTATTTTCTGAAGAACTCCAACACCGACATACATGTTTGTAATTGGAAGAAAGTGTGTGCTATCAGTTGGATTAATTTTGCTTATGTCTGTTTGGTTAATATAATTTGGTTCCATAAAAGCTGTTAAGAAATCTCTGTAACACATAACCATCTTATTGTGTAGGTGTGAAATGACTACTTTTTTACTTTGGAAGTTTTTGTTTAAGTCGACAAATTTGGGAAGAACCCATTCCAAAAAAATATAAAACAATTTAATTTCTGGTTTGTTAAGAGCAATATATATTTCCTCGCTGGCTATAAGACGATGCTCTCAATAACTAGAAGTGAAAAATAATTTTAAAGGCTCCCACTGTTCCAGGATTCGCCTAACTACTTGTAGTAAAGATAGCCATCGAGTTTGCGCTGGTCGTAGAATTTTGTGTGGCTCAGTATTACAGAAGTCCTGAAATTCTTTGAACATTGCCTGCCGTTTTGCACTATTTTTAAAAAAACCGTAAATGTTTCTGGCCAGGTCTTCACATCTTCGAAGTAAGTTTTTACAAGCTTCGCTCGCGCATAAATGTAAAGAATGACATATACATTTTTGAAGCATTAACCCTGGGACATCATTGGTTAATTTGATGGCAACGGAGTTTTTACTGCCAAACATGGTATTGCAGCCGTCCGATGCAAAACCGATCATGTTTTGAAGAGGAAAGTCATTTTTTGAAAAAAGTTTAAGTATTTCTTCATATAGCCTTTGGCTAGTAGCACCTTGATTTGCTTTCTCTGGTTCATCACCGGAAAAAATTTGTAAAAGCCTCCAGAAAAGTGTTTGCACTCTACAAACTTTGGGATGAAAAAATCGTACACAAATACACATAGTCTTGACAGAAGAAATATCTGTGGATTCATCAATTATCAAGCTGAATTTATTGCATTTTAAATAAGAGATAATTTCTTCCTCGGCACAAGCACCTATTACATTTTTTGATATCTGAGCAGCTTTGGTTCTTCCCAGTGACATTCCCTGTGCAATTTTAGAATCAGGAAAATAACTTTTAATTAGACTAGTTAAATGATCAGCTGAATTAAAAGAAATATTGTGTTCTGTTAAAAATCCTGTGATTTTAATTTCGGCAATTTTGCTCTGAGTTTGCAAAGAGGTTTCAGGCTTATTAAGCATAGCTGTAATTGTTGTCTTTGGCAAAGCTTTTACCTTAAGATCATGTTTCAAAGATTTAGCATGATTTTTAATTACGGTTAATTCGGCAGTGAATTCTAAATTACAAGCACGGCACCTAACCTTTCCTGTGTCTGAAAGTAAAATTTAAATGTTTTAAATATAATTAAAAAGTCAGTTACCTGCAATAATTTACCATTAGTCTTAGTGATCCAACCTTTAAATCTAGAGTCTTGTTCCACGGTATTTCTGTTTTCGATGCGTAACCTTTTTGGAACTTTCACCCCGTTTTAACTTTTTATATTCAGGCGTTGACCTCCTCTTTTCACCCTTTTCAGATTCTGAACTAGAATCCGACATGTTTATATTACAGTCTAGATAACCACTTAACTAAACGTAAATCGCAAATGTCTCTTTTATACGTCTTACAAACCCGAACAATCGAAAACAAACTGCAGGACTGTAGCGACTAGGTGCAAAATAATAAAAATGCCAATAAGCGATGTACGGGGAATCCCATATACAACTACACTCCAGCTATACCCTGAACGGCCCGCTGATGAACTCGAAACCCGAATGGATGCGGTGATGCAAATTATTCCAGTGACAATCAAAATTTTTATATCAGTTTACCATTTAGACTTGTCATTAACCATAAAAATATATTAAGCAAAATTAAATATATAGTGGGTTGTGATGAATACATCATTACATAGGTTTTCGCATTAGTTTTTTTTCTTTTAAATGTAAATTATTGTACAAAATGCCATTATCGCATAGCTACTATCGTACATCGTACGTTCGTTAAATTTATCGTACAAAATCGATAATTATCGTACATCTGACAACACTGCGCAATAGTGGAACAATATCTAGTCTAAAAATATTGGTGAAAGACCAGGACCTTTAAAAATATTTGATGAGGTGTTCAAAAATGTTATTCAAAGATTAGTACATGTTTTTTCCTCAAATATGAGTTATCTATAATAAATAAAATTTTGCAAGTATTTTCTTAGGCAACCCAATTGCGGTATATTTATTAACATATTTTATTTAATTAAAAATACTTTTCATCCATAAAGTAGAAGGGTGAAAAGTCGAACTTTATAGAAAAATTGCTAATTAAAAATTTGTTAGTTACTGTGTTTTTACCGTAGGGCAGACGTATTATCATATTAAGAAAAAGACTCAACACACTGTATAATATGTATGTATATTTCATTTTCGCAAACAACTAAAACTAACAACAATAAAAATCAAAGCGAAATTTTTGAACGTGACAATTCACTATTTCGTAAGGAAATAATAATTATTGTTTTTGCTACAAAGTTATATAACAATTGGTAAAGCAATACCGATTCAATTAGTAATATTACATTTTTAACTAGTTATGTAATTATTGTATTATATAAGAAAGATGAGTTCCAATTTACTTGGTTTTGCAAAAAAATACCAGATTGACAATTTTTATTAACGAATTATTTTTTATCGAAAAAACAGTCACGTTATTGTACCTAATGTTTATCTGAATAGGGACGTGCCGAGTTGGGGGCACACCCACAAGATTTTTCTAGACTTTCTACAAAAAAATATATACATTCTGAGATCAATAAGACAATAAACTAATAAAAACGAAACAAAAATTAGCCAAATATCAAACAATAACCATACTCTGGTTCAAACCAAGCCGAAACTAAAAAATATTAGTATTTTCTTTTGTGGTAGGCTAGATAAATACTGATCAACTAATTCGTTAATTTTTATCATTTCAAGTGCATTGGATAGTTTCAAAAATCGCTTTATTTGTTAATTTTTTAAACTGATATAAGTAAAAACAATATTTTGTTAGAATACCTTGTTTAATTTGGGGGCTCCCAAATCGCTATATCTACACATTGTCAAATGGGCTAATAGTGATGATGTACTTATGACAATTACAGTGACAGTAGACTTTTTAAGTATGTTTTTTAAAAATATATATATATATATATATATATATATATATATATATATATATATATATATATATATATATATATATATATATATATTTTTAAAGCAATTAGATAACATGCATCTAGTACATAGTCATTTAGTTACCAATTATATACCTTTAAACTATCTTTTATGACCTGCAAACAATATTAAGACAAAAAACTAAAACAGTGAAAACATATATGTTAAATTTAATGATGTTTTTATTAAAAGATTGGTCAGAAGTTAACTGCCAGTCGAACCATTATTGCGTCAAACTAATATGGCGTATTGTCCTATTAGTGAGTGGATTGAGCTAAACATTGAAACCATTGTCAAGTATAGTAATTTAGCGAAGTTTTGCACTAATTGCTATCTTCATTCACTACTGAGTTTTTAAATAGATGATAAATTAAATGAGTCTCTACATATTAGAGAATTGATTAGTTATCAAACTCTTTACTTGTGTTTTGACACCATTGAAACTGACTTAAGTATTATGTTTTGAAAATGGTGTATTTCTCTTTATTTGACTCACACTTGAGATATGAAATTTTATTATGGGGCAACGCATTATTGTCTATTATTGTTTTTCGACAACAAAAGAAGGCATTAAGAATCTTGTTCAACGTTGAATATAGAGAATAATGTCTTGAGTTATTCTTTAAGCAAATCATAAATTTTTGCATAGCAATCAACAACTCATGAGCAGGGACATTGTTTTTTCTTGTCTTTGGTGTTTTCTGCGGCGCTTTTCCACAATTTTCGCGCGTACTCAAAACAATATGTTTCCGGGCTAGTTTTGCCTCTTTCCAAAGAATCTATCAAAATTCGTCGCTAACATGACGAAGGGCCGTATCTCAAAAGTTCCAGAATTTGGGTTAGATTCATCAAAATGCGTTTTTGGAATGTATATTGAAATGTTAATTTCAAATATGTTTATTTTATTACATACCTGTCATTTTGACATGAGCTACACGTTGTCTTCGTCAATTGTAATGTAAATTTATTTTGAGCCCTACGTTGCATATGATGAATTTACTTTAATTTTTACTTCATTAGCCGGCTAGCTAAATTTGCTATGCTAATTAGATATGCTTTATTATATCTTTACTATTATATACTTGATAATAAAAAATTTACTGTTATATATGTTTATCTTTTTTATTTAAACTCTTGCCTCAGAATTAGTAGCAGGTTCATTTACTTTTTCAGTAACCCTCGTAACAGAATATTGAAATGTGCTCAAATAGAATGTAATTTAACGTTTCGATTATTACAGATAGAAAAAGGTAGACAACACATAATACATTTATTATAAATATGGGAAAATTAACAGTATTAACATTAAATACGATTCCTATGGGAAAATAGGTTGAATATAATATGTCTAATTCATTCATTCTCACCACTCATACTTACCTAAAATCACTATAAAACTTAAAATTACTGACAAATTTAAAAAAAAATATGTTGGCAATATGTAAATGGCAACAATGTCTATTTGAAATCACAGGCCGTTGACGTGATCATTGACCTCCAAATATTTTGGCTTTCTATGTATTACAATAATTGTACAAATTGAATACAATTATTAAACGTAAAGAATAATTATGCCAATAATTTAAACTTGTAAGTAAACTAATTAATTTGGTACCTTTTAAGAAGAAGTTCAGACTCACTGTTATAAATCACTTTCTTGCCCTTTTCGCAGGTTAAAAATCCATTATACTGGAATTAATTATTATTGAGATTAGAGAGTTGAAGTGATGCTATGAACGTAAATGTGTACGTGAAAACTGACATCTGCGCATGCGTATTCAAAATATCCTTCACGTTCACGTCTACGTAAATACGCAAGCTTACGGGCTCTGGCGTATGTACGTAACGCAAACAATATAACCTCTTTTTGAAGAAATATTACCATTAATTGTCATTATCTGTCATGGCAAGTATTTTGGACTTCAACGTAAACATTATTTTTCTGCTTTGACGTTCACGTTTACGTTAACGTACTGGAAACACTTCAACTCTCTATTAACTTAAGGGACTTCAAGTATATCTCAAACTGTTTTAAAAGACACATCCAATCGTCAAATTCTCAGGCTTGTCTTCATGACGTCACAGGTATGTTATAATTTTCACTTTTATTATATAAATTTTACATTTTTGAAACTTTATTCTAGGTTCTAGATTAATATCCACTATCACTATAACAATTTTAAATTGTACTACCTTTCTGTAATACGTTTTACATTTATATTTCTTTCTTTTTTAGAGAAACGAAATTTGCGTGGCGTCTTCAACAAAATTTTCTGCCAGCTTTTTTTTATCAACAGAAACAAAAGAAAAATTGGATCCAACGGCTTGAAATTATGTTTAACCAATCAGGACAAAAGTCTTATAGTTCTTTTACATTTAATTGATTTTTAACCGACTTCAAAAAAGGAGGAGGTTATCAATTCGTCGCGATATTTTTTTTTTATGTATGTTCAGCGATTATTCTTTAACACGGTGTCCCATATAAATTTGGTTAAGATGTGGTGATGGCATCTGCACGTTTTTGAAGTCGGTTTTTTTAAATTTTTAATTTACACTTGTCTATTAATTGTTAGTGAGTTTATTTTATATATTCAATTTCTTTTAAATTTTGACAACAGTTATTTTCATATCTGTGTTGTCAATTTTAAGTAATTTGAATTTTTTATGTCACATAATTTTAGGTTGGTACCTTGTTAGTCTATTTTTTTAAGATTTAATAACCTTTTTGATATACAGGGTGTTAAAATTTTATCATCTAATTTTTTTTAAATTTTGTGTTGAATCTGTATTTATTTATTATAATTAATTACATTTTTAGATTATGATGATGTTCATATACCAAGGATTACTGGAATATTGTCTGCTGTTAATATGTTGTTGCCTGAAATGAAATTATGGCACCCTTTTGTTGCATTTACTTTAAAATATATTTACATATATAACAATAGATTTATTTATTATTTTGGCTTCACTAAAGCCTTAATAAATATTTTAAAGTTTTCGAGAGATAATTGTGTGTCGTGGGTTCATTGTATCATGCTCACATTTTCTTTACATTACAACATATACTTACATACGTTATATATTGGCATTGACACAATATTTATAAGTTATTAGCTTTTTCAATCAACTCTTAAAGTAAATAAAAATCAATCAAATTTTGTAATTTTGAGATACGCCTGTTCGTAGTGTTAACGACGAATTATTCCATCTTCGTCCTAGAAAATTGAACCCAGTCAATTTTTAATCAAACACTTTTTTTTGGTCGTGCAGAACCACAATGCTTCCACTCTTTAAATCATCCT